CTACCTACCTACCTACCTACCTACATACATACATACATACATACATACATACATACATACATACATACATACATACATACATACATACACACATACATACACACACGCATGCACACATACACACTCATAAGTTCTCCCTCTCTATTTCTCTCTCTCTCTCTCTTTCTCTCCCCTGTCCACACACTAACAAACACACGCAAACACACTCACACACACCCACCACGCCCAAAGACAGCTTTGCTTTGTCTTTACACTTTATCTCGTGGGTGGTTGGCGGGTGCTGTGGTGTGGTTTGCTCCTTTTCTCCTATTGAATGAACATCTACTGTCTGTCTGTGGAGTCTCCTGATTACGTCATCGGCGTGTCTACATCTGCTCTATTACCTCTGTGCGAACGGAGCAGACACACATATGTGTTCATGTCCCGTCGACATGTTTGTTTGTTTTGGTAAGGTTTTACGGCGCTCGCAATTGCATACGGTCATATGAGCGCCAAGGGTTGGATGTCAACAGAGAAGTCCAATCAGGGAATCAGGCTTACTCTGCTCACCTCTCTAGCCTCGACAGCACAAAGTCTGCTTCGGCTCTCAAGGCACCCCGGAAATAGCAGTTCACAAGAGAGTGACAAACGTAAAAAGAAGTAGAGGAAAATGACGTTAGTAAGGATGACGAAAGAAAAAGCAGCTGTTCCCCTATGTTGTTCCGGCACAGTGTGAGAATGATATTGATAAATAGCCCATTTACAGTTCTACTGTGCATAAGAAAATGTTAATATCCCCCATCTGAGAATGGCCTAAAGACGCTTCAGTCAGTTACACTGCCCTGGAGGGGGGGGGGGGGTCATCGACTTTGTATACGTCTGCTCATATAAGCACTGAAGTAAAGAGGTGTTTCAAGAGAGTGACAAACACGAAAAAAGAAAGGGTAGAGATAAAGATGATAGATGTTTAATAGAAAAGAAAGAGCAAAACGCACTACCAGAGCACCCTCCAACCACCCACGGCATGTCTTCAAACTTCCAAAATGCGTGTCCTTAATGACTTAAGCTACACGCCCATGGGATCAGTCTAAGGTTGTGTTTTCATCGATCTGGTGTAGGCTGTGTGTAGACAAGACGTGCTTGAGGGAGCTATGGCGCTGGCAAGTCTCACAATCTCATACATATTATGCCCTTCTGTGTCAGTTGATATTTTATTCTATTTTATTTCATTTCATTTCTTTTCATTTCATTTCTTTTCATTTTCCTTTCCTTTCCGTTCCTTTCCTTTCCTTACCTTTTCTTTCCTTCCCTTTTCTTTCCTTTATTTTACTTTACTTTGCTGTACTTAGCTTTACTTTACCTTTTTAAATACTTTTCTTTACTTTATTTTACATTATTTTATTTCATTTTATGTCATTTTATTTCATTTTATTTTTGAATAATGTGGATGATCAGAGGGTGCTCTGATTTGGTTTGCTCCTTCTTTCCTGCGAAACATCTATTGTCCGTATCCCTCCTCCATGTCTTCTTTGATGTTACTCTCTGGTAACACCTCTAATCTTTGGCACTTATATGACCCATTTGTGCTACACATGCCATTAAACTTTAACTAAAACTGAAAGGAAAGTTTTTATCAATTTTGTTTTGTTTTGTTTGTTTGTTTCTAATTTTTATTTTTTAAATTATATATTTTTTAACCAAATGTTATACCTTCAGTAACCATGTGAAACCTTCTCACTGACAAGTCAGACAGTTTCCTGTGTTAGATTTACCATCTGTGGAAAGGATTATAACGACTTCTCTTCATCTCTGTCTTTCTTTCTGTTTATATGCCTGCCTGCCTGCCTGCCTGCCTGCCTGCCTGCCTGCCTGCCTGCCTGCCTGCCTGCCTGCCTGCCTGCCTGCCTGTCTGTCTGTCTGTCTGTCTGTCTGTCTGTCTGTCTGTCTGTCTGTCTGTCTGTCTGTCACGCTCTTTTCTTTCTGTTTTATCACCAATCACCCACCAACCAGGCTGGAGATGGTGGGAGGGGGGGAAGGAGGAACAGAGTTATGATATATAAAAATAATATACATGTGTGTAATAATAATTTTATAGGCCACATATAATAATCATAATGATAACCACCTACTATATTTTTCTGTACATCTCTCCATCCAGGAAAAAGACATTTTAGCAGTTAAACCACACCAGAGCGCCCACCAACTACCCACTATATCTCTCTGTACCTAGTGGTTATGATCTTGGACTTGCTACTGTAAGGTCATGGGTTCGAATCCCACCAGGGGCCCAACGTTGTGTCCTTGGGAAAGGCACTTTACTCGAATTTTCCTCATTTCTCTTTGGTAGAAATGGATGCAGGCTAAAGACGGAAAGATCTTGTCAGTTTGTTAATGTTTGAGCGCTTGATCTTCCCGGGAAGTCGAGAATGTTTCAAGATGTTATAAGGTCTGCTGGGGTAATAATAGTTATAGTGTAAAGCGCATAGAGTTTGCTGTTGAGCGGGGATATGCACTATACAAATATGTTATTTATTATTATTATTATTATTATTATTACTTCTTTCCATCCAGGAAGAAGACATTTAAGGAGTAAACGGCATCAGAGCACCCACCAACCACCCGCTATATTATTTTTCTGTCTGTCTCTCCGTCCAGGAAGAAGACAGCGGAGCCCACAGAGAGTGAAAAGATTCTCGCCCACCGGAGCCAGACGCAGCAGGTGAAGCTGGAGGAACGACGGAGACAACAGTTGTACCACATGAAGGTGGAGGCAGCACGGAGGATACAGAGGGCATGGAGACGGTGAGTGAGGGGAGGGAGAGGTTAGGGAGGTAGGGTGAGGAGGACTGTCATAGACAGCAGTTGTACCGCATGAAGGTGGAGGCCGCACGGAGGATACAGAGGGCATGGAGACAGTGAGTGAAGGGGGGTGGATGGAGGAGTGGACGACGTAGACAACAGTTGTACCACATGAAGGTGGAGGCTGCTAGGAGGATACAGAGAGCATGGAGGCGGTGAGTGGGGGGGATGGAATTGTTGAGTAGTGGAGTTAAGATGTATATGTGGGTGTGCCTATGTTTTTGTGCATACATATGAGTGTACATCTGAATGAGTTGAAGAGAGAAAGTGTGTTGTTGTTTGTTCGAGGCACTGAAGGAGATCTTTAAGGTGGGGAGGTAGAGCAACCAGAGACATTCGTACATGAGTTAGTGAATATCCCATTGGAGACTGGAGTTCCCTGGTAATCTTGAGTGGCATCAGTGGCTTATTGGTTAGGCTGCCGGACTCGAAATGGTGAGGTTGCAGGTTCAGAGGTTTGAGCCTCAGCTCGGTCCGACTTTGTGTCTTTGGGAAAGGCACTTTACACGAAATTCCCTTTTGGCTCAGTCCTTTCAAAGATGGACATTAAACTCGGATGTCCCGCTTTTAAATAACGTAATTGTGTTGATAGGGGCGTTATACCCATTCCATTTTTTTGCTTATCTCAAAAAGCAGTTAGAAATCACTCTTTTTTTGCTGGGGCATATTATTAGTCTGTCTACTATCTTGATCAATATATTGTTAGTAAAACTGTTAGAAATAGGGAATGGAAAGAGAAAGAGAATGAGAGCAAGAGAGGAGAGAGAGGGAGGGAGAGGGAAGGAGGGAGGGAGGGAGAGGGAGAAAGAGAGAGCCAGAGAGTGGAAGGACCCCAGTTGAAACTATGTTATTTTGTATTATTGTAAAGCACATTGAACACTTTCCTTTAGTTTAAACATGCTATATAAATGTAATTTAGTATTTGTATTATTTGCCACTGTGATATTCTCTTCCCAGGTATTTCAAGACCAAAAAGTGAGTACTTTTGTCCCATCTGGTTCTTCATTGTAGGCCTAGCCTCTTCATATGGTTGCTCGTCCTTGATTGGGAAAAAAAATGATTGTAAATCTTTTCTGTGATAGTAATAAATGCATTTATACACGCATAAATCCATACTCTACAGCTTTCTGTGTGCATTTTACAACTATTCTTTCCTTGTCAACACTTTCTAGATAATGAATGTGATGGGATGTTTTGTACCTGTCTTTTGGAACTAGCCCACGTTGAGTAGGATAATGTGTCCTTACAGAAAAGTAGATATGTGAGGTATAGTGATAAAATCAGGCGCTCGTTAATATGGTGAAATGGAAGAAAAAGGCGTTCTTCACAAGTTTGGCAATTTATATTGAAATTTTGGGTTTTTTGCTAAATACCTATTCGTTTGTATCAAAACATATTTCCATGTGAACTTTACTTTACTGAAAAACATTCTTTAGAGGCACAAAATTTTCAGTTTTCAAGGACTCTTTATCTATTGAAGTTATAAACTTTGGCGGCCATTTTCTCATTACTTTTACCACTGAAACAGGCTACCCCACCTTCTTCAATCACAAATATCTCGACTTCTATTCAAGCTAGTTGGATATTTTTTCTCAGAGAAAGCAAGGCAAATGAATAAGCTTTCATGTGGTATCAATAACTCCACATGCGCAAAAATTGACGAGTGCCTGATTCCACCACGTCTTGACACATATATATTCGATAAAATGAATTACCCTTTAGGGAGTCGACTTATGTCTTGTCCATGTAAATGCAGACCTGGCAAGTACTCAAATAGCTTTTTCGGGGTTTTTTTATCCTCTCAAAAAATCCTAATGGGATAAGCATTAAGACTGATCTTTTTCCTAAATTCCGTCAAAATTGGTAATTTGCGACTTAGTACACAGTGAATGACGTGAAAATACACTTTTTAACTTGCATTTGTATGTATTTACTGCGCAGGTTTATTTGCCACTCTGGGTGCGTCAAGTAGTCTTGATATACTGGGGTTCTGGAGACTGATTTTTTTCCCTAAAGTTTTAGTTTTTAGGAGGATATTGAGGAAAACATATGTGAGGCATCATAGTGAAATCAGGCCCTCGTCAAAATAATGAAATCAAAGAAATCAGTATTTTTTTTGCCGATGGGCAATTATTTTCTCATTTTCTTTTTTTGGCTCAACAATTTTTATGTCCATTTAAAAACAAATGTTTGTGTGGATTTTACTGAAAAACATTGATTAAAGGCACAAAAAGTAAAATTTCAGTTTCGAAGGACTCTTAGACTATGGAAGTTACCAAACTTGGCGGCCATTTTCTCGCTAATTTTACCTCTGAAACCAGGGGACCCTGGCCTCCTTTACAAAAATTTTGACTTTTATTCAACATAGATAGGTATTTTTTTCACCAAAAGGAAGGCAGAAGAGTAGGCTTTAAGGTAATACCAATAACCCTATATATGCCCAAAAATTGCTGAGCGCCTGGTTCCACCACATCGTGACACATATTATTTTTTTGGGCCATGGAGGGGTTAGCAGGTGTGGTAATGATGAGGTACCTACCCATCAGGCCACAGAGACCAGGGCACATACTCTGCTGTACTCTGTCATAATCAAAAACCTACGTTTGGGAATAAAGATGGTAAATTTTTTTTACCTTACCCCTATCCGTACGTCATGTTTTACTATCGTATCCATACGACATGGTGAACTCTGTTCCCCCATTTTTCAAAGAGGAAATGTTCTCGTTAATCCGGTCCGTACGCTTTGCATAGCAGTCTGTCTAAATGATTTTTTGAGAAATACTAAAAGTTTCAAAGAGATTTTCGCTCTAGAAGTATTCTAAAATGTGAAAAATACAACCCCCGGGATACAAAATGACCCCAGGCGTACGGATAGGGTTAATGTTGGTGTTTTTTTACACTCTCATCAACACATTTAGATCTTTTCGGATTGGGCTTTGATTCTGCCTGTCAGTGCCACCCAAGGCTGAGAGGGATACAACATCCCATCAGAAAGACTGAGATACTTGATAAAAATTATTATCCCCATACGGGAATTGAACTAAGGTCTTGTGCATGTGATGGTGAAGTGCTTAACTGCTATAACACAAATGTCGGTCTGGTAAAATTTATTTGCATGCTATATATACTATATATAAAAACAATCAGGAAATTGGGACACCTGAATAGACATAAGGGTCTTGAACATCTAGCTCTCACTGGCAAAATTGAGGGCAAGCGAGGCAGGGGTAGGCCCAGAACAACATACTTAGGGAACCTAAACAAATGGGTAACAGGGAAAGATCAGGGAAACGTGACTTTTCTGAGAGCATCCGAGCAAAGGAATGAATGGAAAACCATGATCGCCGATGTCAGTCGCAGATCTGGCACTGGATGACGATGATGATATATACTTATGATTTCTGTGTGTTTTGTAATGTTGAGTTGCTTTTTCTCAGAATGGCATGATCGTAATTATGTCACTCGCACTTTTGTGTATTCTGAGACAAAGTCAGTACAGTTTGTGCTACAAGCACAGTGCATTGTGTTAAAAGTTTGCTCTGCAACTATAGATTTTCTGATGTTCACACATGTCAGAGTATAGATGTATTTACTTCATATGTTTTTGTAGCAACAATTTTGCAATTTCACCACACTACACACAGAAATGTTTGTCTTAAAATGTTTGTCTCTTCTTACCTTATCCATCAACAACGCCTTTCTTCACAGGACCAGGACGATACACCAACAGTTTGAGAACTTTTCCAAAGAAGGCGTGCGGAGAAAACGACTTCGCGCAACTCAGGAGGAATGGGAACGACAGATTGCTGCACTCACTATACAGTTAGCTTGGAGGAAATTTTACAGGTGAGAGGGAAAGTTAACCAGGGGGAAATGCTACAGGTGAGAGGAAAGTTAACTTGAAGGAGATTTTACAGGTTAGAGGAAAGTTAAACTGGTAAAATTTTACAGGTAAGAGGAAAGTTAGCTTAGAGGAAATTGACAGGTTAGAGGAAAGTTAACCTTGTAAAGTTTTACAGGTAAGAGGAAAGAAATGATCAAAGTGTTATTATACTGTGTTTAATTTCTTCTTCAAATGTTGTTTTTGTACAGCAGAGTCCACTTTTGAGGAACCGTCAAGGAACAGAATTTTGCTTTGACTTGAAGCCTGCTTTATTCTGTATGTTGAAATAGAACTGATTTTGAGTCTGTTGTGTATTTTAAGGATCTGTTTCTCCTCGCGACAAATATGTTACATGTATCGAAAATTGTGTTTCGTGTATCAGAGATTATGTTATATGTATCAAAGCTTGACCTATGCTTTCACTCTTTTAAATATAACTCTGCTACTTCATGAATCGTGTTCAAGTATTGAAATATTGATAGCAGTGGTGCTGAATTTCCTTATAAATCTGGAAATTTGGATACACTGAAATTTTCTGGATTTTGCCCGACTTCTTTATACAAGATTATTTGACAATATGATCCATAAATTTTTAGTTCCTGCATGAGTGTAAGAGCGGGGGCTAGCACATTCAAACTCATACCCCTGTACTAGTAGGAACAAATCTGTTTTATTTCTCCTTCGGTGAATAAAAGAACAACAGATCTTGAAATTTTAGTGATTTTAGTAAGTTACTGTGACGACTTTTCCCATTTAGGAACTTACCAGTTTCATTAAAAAAAATAAACCAATGTACAAAAGTTTTTAAAATGCGCAAAATATAGGTAGCCAACCCAATACCGGTACTAATGCAGAGGCAAATTTGCCATTTACAAAAAAAAATAAGTTTCATTCAGATATCTAGATTATAGACATAATGTTTCACATGATCTTCAGTTGTGGCAAGCTGGAAAATAATAAACAGGGGGTATAGAATAAGGAGCGGGGGGATGCGGGAAAAAGTGAAAATCAATAACATGGGTGGGGGGGGGGGGGGGGGGGGGGGGGGGGGGGACTATTTTGTTGGGAAACCTATAAAAATAATAGAGACAGTGTCCTAGACGCCCGCTGAAAACAAACACATTTTTCCTCCACAATGGATAGCGTCAGTGGCCTAGTGGTTAGGCTCTTGGACTCACAACCATGAGGTAGTGGGTTTGAATCCCGTCAGTGGCCCGACCTTTTGTCCTTGGAAAAGGCACTTTACACGAACTTTCCTCACTTCACTCAGGTGGAAATGGGTAGGTGAGTTAGTGTTTGAGCGTGTGAAATCAGCAGCTTGCACTGTTCGTTTCCAGAGAACCTGAGAATGTTTTTGAGTGTTCTAAGGTCTGTTTTAGTAAGGTTTTACTGCACTCGCAACTGCATAAGAGCATATGAGCACCAAGGGGTGGATGTTAATAGAGAAATCCAAACGGGGAATCAGGTTTACTCTGCTCACCTCTCTAGCCTCCACAGCACAATGTCTGCTTCGACTATAAAGGCACCCCGGAAATAGCAGTTTACAAGAGAGTGACAAACATACAAAAGAAATAGAGGAAAAATGACGATACTAAAGATGAGGGGAAAAAAAGCTGCAGTTCCCCCTATGTTTTTCCGGCACAGTATGAGAAATACTTTATGGTCTCCTGGGGTAATAGTTATAAAAGCACACAGAGCATATACTGTAGTGCATGGATGGGGGCTATATAAACACAATTATTATAATCATTATTATTATTATTATTATTATTATTATTATTATTATTATGGCTGTCTTGGACAATTTGGATCAAATTGTGATCATCTTAGCATGAAGTAAAACTTTTTCTTTTCCACAGGAGGAAGTTGCTCCGCTCGCTTCACCCCAACCGTCGGCAGCTGCTCATGTGGGATCCTGAAGTGGTCGCTTTGAAGCAACAGGCTCTAGTGAACTACATCTATAGTAAGTTTATGGTTTTGTGTTTCTGTGTGTGTGTGTGTGTGTGTGTGTGTGTGTGTGTGTGTGTGTGTGTGTGT